TCCATACCCCTACTCCGCGATACTTCAATAAGAGTTAAAACATGACCAGAAGCAGAAAGAGGAGCTTTGGATAGGAATGACTGCTGATTTTACTAATTAGTTATTTATGAACACGGAGCAGAGCAGGTGCTGCTAATGACAGCCCATAAATATTTAATTATGATTTTCTTAGACGATTGAATACAAGATTTTTTGTGATAGATGCTAATAATGGCAATTTTAAGGTAGTATAGCTATAAAGTGACCTGCAGCATCTCGTCTGGCTGAATTTGGAGGCTTTATTTGTCCAGCTGATGCAAACATTTGCTGTTTATGTGTGTCCATTCAGCACAACCTGCATCAGTGCGTTTAATCTGAGAGCTGTCTTTTTAAGCATTTATCCGAGAAATAATAAATAGAGCAGTTCTTATGACATTATTCATATTCATATTCATTATGTGTATTTTTATTATACACATTTTATCCAGGAAGTATTCTTAAATTCACTTGTGAGAATGTGAGGAGTTCTGTAAAAGGTGGGCCATTTATTTGATATTTTTAAGGACTATAATTTAGAGTAAAACACGCGTCATAAATTAAGCCTGCTTATTTCAACTGAGACTAAAAGATATTCAGTTTCTAACGTGTAATTATGACACTGATAAGCGATTCAGTGACACACTCCGCCATCATGGCCAGAGGTGGCGCCGTGGAGTACTACCCTAACCCGGTGGGGTTCAAACAGAGGCAGTTTTCAGTCATCAATTGACAGAGCAGAGAGGAGCCTAACTTTGGGACGGTTGGGCAGATCTGTACGACGCTGCAATGCTGCCGCAGGGAGGACGCTCTGCTGCTCACGCTGCACTTTTATTCTTCGTTTATGTCCTGGAGGCAACTTTTGTGCTCGGCTTTAACCTGGACACCGATCATGTCCTCAGGAAAGACGGAGAGCCTGGGAGCCTGTTCGGCTTTTCTCTGGCCGTGCACCGGCAGCTCAACCCGGACAAAGTCATGTGAGTGATGTCTCCAGATGTTCACGTCTGTAGAGCTGTCTGAGCTCCTTGGAGCACCTGAGCGCACAGGTTCGTTTAACAAGCAAGTTTAGGGACTTTTCTGTCAGGTGGCATCAGCGCATAAATTCAAATGTGACTGGAAGTGCTGTGAGGACTGACTGGCTTACACCTACTTTCTGTTTAAACTTTAAATAATGAGAGAAAATAACTCTTTAACCCTCTCATGTGTTACAGTCGTGCGTTAGAGCAACTTTCTAATACAATGTCCTTTAACTTTATCTTTTTTTTCTTTTCTTTTTTTTACCCAGTTTTCCCCAAACCCCACAGGGTTTCTCACACGTTTTGTTCCAATTCTCGGTGATATCAGCAGTTTCCCCGCTGATACTTTGAATATGAAGTAGGGAAACAGCAAAAGGATAACAAGTGAATTTACAATGCTTGTAGTGTCATGCAAATGTGCCTGCAGGGTCAAACCGAGGCAGCACTGCGAGGAGAGAGGTAATAGGAAATAAAAGGGTCTCAGGATTGCTTTGCAAACGAGTGGATTTTTCAAGGCACATAAAAAGGAACGAAGCTATTATTCCTGACATTTCATTCACCGATTACAAACAGCCAAAAAAATTCCATTCAAGATGCTATAATAATGTGGCTTTCAGTATTCTCTTGTCTTTTAATCTTCTAGGTTTCCTGTTATCACCTTTGTTTGCTGGTGTTCTGCACGATCCTGGCAGTTTTCAGATTGGATTAGATTTTTGCTGTTGTGAGACAATTAAGAAGAGAAATCAGAACATGCTGACTAATGCAGCCTCACTCACATGTCAGATGGGCTGATAATGAGATTTTTGCATCAGTGCCAAGATGAGATAGAGCAGGAGTCAAAAAAATTTAAGTATTCCTCCAGTGCAGGGTTTTGTTTGAGCAGTGCAGAAGGGGCAGAATCAACACCGGTGTAGTGACCCTGATCATCCTGCCTCCTCAGTGTTGAGAAGAGGGTGTGGTGTATAAAAGCCTATAGGTTTTGTGCTGGCACTCACGGGACCCTGCAGCAGCATGTTGAGAAAAAGAGATCAGGGATGAGAAGCCCTGATAACACGTTTACAAAAAACCCAAGAGATTCCTCAAAGATCGCAGAGATTACTCTTAAGTTGTGTAATTTAATCTAACTGCTGTTTTGACCACCGTGCCAAGACAGGTCACGTTGAAGTGAAGTTTTTAAAGCTGGATTTTTCAGATCGCTTTTTCACAAACATTTCTTTGTTCACAAAGAAGCATTCAAACTGAAAAGAGGAACTTTAACATTTGTCTCGCTTGGCAAGTCTAAAGGGAGGGAAAAGTCATGAAACCGATGTCATATTTGTCGGGCAAATAGAGCCTTGAAATGTGACACTGGCTTGAGAGTTTGTTTTCAGCCTGTAAAAGTCTGGGGAGAGTGCCTCTTTTACATCCTGCTCAGTGAGGAAGCAAACCTTATTTAGGGGAGGAAAAACCAGAGCATCTTTTTTTATGTGAAAGGAACCTGAATATTTTAGGTTTTGGACTGTTGTTTAGACAAAAAATAAAAGCTTATAGGGAAAGCTGAGTGATGTGAGCATTTTTTTTTTTTTTAGGAAATGTTTTCTTCCTAATCACCAAGCTCAACAGCTGTGCAGAAGTAAGCGCACATCTACCTGACAAGAGGCCTGTGCTTATTACAGGATGTAAACATAACCGCCTCGCTTGGTTGAGCTGTAAGGGCAGCAAGCTGCACGTTTTCATTCGCTTGCCAGATATAGTTTGCAGTAAAAAAAAAAA